TGGATAATAATTATAATTATTAATTTTTTTAATAATGAATAATTAGTGTCAGGTAATTTATTTATTTTAAAAAAGTATTAATTAGTTTAACATAAATAACTTAATTACTGTGGTTAAACGTGGTTTAAAAAAATAATTGTTAATATATATGTTAGAAATCTTCCTCTTAGTCGATAAGTCTATATCGACTTGATATACTTACCTACTGAATCGATAAGAACGCGCACGTGATTTATCAGATCAGAGCCATCTGTACTCAAAAGCGTGAAAGTGACATTCTGAGGGTGAAGTCCCCTGGAGCTAGCATATGGCGTACCGGCGCGCGGCGTATGGTGTACAGAAGCTTGGCTAATCACAGGCTTTACGCTCGTTTTCGTTACGCCAGCACAAACATCGGCTGTTCCATGGAGCGTATTTAAGCAGCGTAATGATTAATAAGCCAATTACAGTGTTGTTTTACAAAGCTTATTTTCAAAATGGATGCTCAAGGGGTCTTGTGATTGGCTTATTGATCATTACGCCGGCGTAAATACGCCCCATGGGACAACCGATAAAATTTTCAACGCAATTTTTAACACATACTTTCATACATGAAGCAATATTCAATATGCGCGTACGTGGGTGTGTATCATTATAGCATAAACGCCGAAACGCTTCAAAAACCAACGTAACATCTGTGCTATCGAAAACGAGCGTAAAGTCTGTGATTAGCCCAAGCTTCTTTACGCCATACGCCGGTACGCCGTACGCTGGCTTCATGGGACTTCACCCTGAGAACGACATGAGAACGACGTATCTTAAGGGCCCTGGATGCCCATGTCAGCCATCTTGAATCGAGACGATGAAATATGAACAATTCTTACGTACGATTGAATATAAGTGCTCAAATAAAAGATGAAAGCATATTATATGTTTATCTGCTCATTAATTTGCTGGTCCTAATATAGAAAGTGTAGTAACAACGAAAGTAGTAGCAAGAAAAAATTTACAGTTGATGCGGCCGGCGTAACATTGTTCTGGAAAACGGTTTATGGCACTTTATTGGATTATTATTTGAGGCAATGGACAGCACATTGACATAACCAATAAACTGAAGCTTAATAATGCACAATTTTTAGTACCATTAATGAGTTATTTTACCAATGAGATTTTCCGCAAGACAATTGTCCACTTTTTGACGTGTTTTCCGCCGCGAGCCACTCGAGAGTCGACTGGTGAGGCACACGCACACAAGAGAAAGAACGTATCTGAGTGCACAGGTACGTGCTTTCTCTTGTGTGCGTTTCCCCCACCAGCTGACTCTCGAGTGACTCGCGGCTTAAGTGGATGCTGGAGCCGTCTGTATAACCGACAAAATTACCATTTTCTATGTTATCGACTGAATCTGTTCTTGTATAGACAAAGATATAAACAAGGATAGCACGCTACATTGCACGCACACATACGCACAATGCACATCGACATTATACTTTTATATTACGCTTCCAAATCTTGATTTTGAGGGTTTATCGATGTTTTTCTTGTTGTGCAATTCGGGGGAACTTGTTTTCGCGTTCGTACCAATGGTATATCTCTTATATGAAATACATCTTGTGACGAGCTGACAGCTCGCCGCAACTCGAGACGCCATATTGGGATAAAAGTAGGATAAGGAAATCTGTACTTCCGTAATTTTTTCTTGTTTTCTATATAAAATCGGAGTTCTCCCGAATCATTAATGTATGTACTGCAATTCTGGAGAAGGATTTTTAATTCTGTCAAATTAATACGACGCTACGTGCCGACAAAAAATTCCGGTAAAACAGACGGCTCCAGCATCCCCTTAAATTTACCAGTTCTGTATCAAGCTACAAAGCTTTCTCCAGTAGGTGTCGTGCCACTCGACCGCTGTATTTTCCGAGACTATCCAGGGGCCTTAAAAAAAAGTCCGTATCTTAATGTACAATTTTCAGATTTGAACTTTGCGTCGCGATATCTCCGCTCGTAGGGCACGTAACAGAAAAATAAAAACACTTCTATTACATAATTCAAACCTAAGCTATCGATTGGCTCTACTTAGAACTTGATCGGTTGAGCGGTTATTAAGATCTAATAATATCAAGTGCTCGCAACTCGCATCGCGTAAAAAAGTCACGGTACAATCTCGCTTCGTGTATACTTGGCGCGAGACACTACCGTGTCTCTTGATTTTTTATTTGCCTCAATAATTAATCTTTACATTTTTTATTACAGGCTGGAAGTAACATATGAACATATGAAAATATTTTGCCGCGCGTGACACATTACTGATAACGCAAGAACGTGATAACTACAATGAGAAACTAACTCATCAGAATTGAATTGACTATGAAATTTTGCGTCATGTACTCCAAGAATATCAGGATTCAATGAGTCTCGACAAAAACAATTTTTTATTGTTTTGGATGCTCTCTTACCTCAAATTTGCATTGGAAATGGAAAGATTTCTCTCAATGAGTTGTCTCTTGAGTTAGCCAAGTCGGTTCAACAAGCTATATTCTGGCTAATCAAATCGTTTTATATAAAATGGCAACAATTGCACGACGATAATCTCGATTACATCTCAAAATGGAGACTCTTGAATTTACAAAGACAAGTTGAACTTATTTTAGACAATTTAGCAGATAATCAACGACAGCACGGAGGAATCGAAAGACAATAAATATATTCCGGAAGATAGAACATTATTTCGAACACTGAAAATTTAAATTGAAGAAGAAACCTTAACTGAACAGAATGAAGGAAATCTTAATGAAATTAACAAGACTGAAAAAAAATAAAGATAAATCTTGGAAAAATACACGGAGTAATTATATCACACCTACAGAACACATGTTATAAATCATCCGGAATTATTAAAACGTAACAAAGATGATATCAAGGATAAAATTCCTACTATATTGTTAAAATTCCAATTAATCAAAAATTTAACGTGTCCGATGATAATTCTATCATTAATAGTACATTCTTTTTTAAAATAAAAGCACTTAGGAATAAAAATCTTGTAAAAAACGAAACTTCGTTAAAGTCGAAAAAATTTATAGGTACATACTTCTCACGAAAAAAAAATGGAGAACGGTTTAGTCAACTGGAAAGTGTTTTCTCAATTTCAAAGAACACTTTTCGTTCCTTCGAATAAAAACGAAGAATATAATAAAAGAAATAGACAAATATTACCAGGACACTTTAATTTCAGACAAGAAGAGAATTGAAAGAGAATGCGATGTAAAAATTTCAAGATTTATTTACTACAAAACATATATTTTTTGACAAGTCGACACGTGTAGTCGTTAGATGACTAAGATCACTAATAGTTATACATAGTCTTATAAATTGTTATTGAACATATCGAGTTTTACAGATTATTCATGCATTGAAATAAGAATCTTATTTCGGCTCGGAAATTATCGAGAATCATAAATCCGTCTATTAATTTTCTATTGCGCCTTGAAATTTGTGCGTATGATGCGCGCGTTTGTGTCTAATGTTACACAACGCTAAGTATATGCCTAACACATTTTTATTTTCTCACATAAGCCCTAATCCTAACGAATTATTAACAAGTATTTGGCTAGCGGTTAGAGAAGCGTTACCATAGAATGTATAAATAAAATTACCTTAAAAATTAGACACAAGTTTTAAATAATATTCTAATGATTCTGATAAGTCCTGAAAGATTTTCTTGACTGAATATTCGTTAAAAAATTATACAATTATCTTTTCATGCATTTTGCAAGCAACGGCAATTTAAGCAATCGGTAAATGTACGCGGAAAAGTGCGTGACGACAGTTTGAGGCAATTTCCAACATATATCGAAAGATGAAGAAATTAGTATCATGTTACCGCAAAAGATATGCTGTATATAGGTTTGCTGAATGACATTAAAAATCGCGCAAGTAATCACGAGTACATATTAATCATTAATGCAATCTTTGTTGCATTGTTTTCTCTCCCTAGGGAGTATCTTCTCGATGACTTTTTTTGAAAAACTCGGATTGTTCGTTTACAATTTCATTCAAAGCGGAAATTGATAGCGAAGACGATTATAGCGTTTTCGATTTGCGACTCAAACCGACTCGGGTCGCATCATGTATACAGGACTCTAGAATCATTGACGTGGAATACATACATATCTATTTATGTATTCCACGTCCATTGATGCGACCCGAGTCGGGTCGAGTAGTAAATCGAAAACGCCATTAATCTTTTGCATTGACATGATAAATAATGGTTACTTACACGATACCCCGTGAAACCGTCATATTCAAACCGTCGAGCACCGGCTGTCCTTTTCCATAACGCTTCACGGCATTCCTTACTACCACCGCCTCTTGCTGCACCATTCTGCGAAATAATGATGACTGTTCGATCAGCGACCAAACTGTAACAATTTTTTTTCTTGCATGATTTAAAAGCGTTGTTGAATGATTGGCTTTTTAAAAAAGCAAAAAATAGAATTTTACTGACATCTTATTGATTTTTAATTAAAAATATTTTTTGGAACATTTTTTTCAGAGAACACTTAGACGTCTTAACAACGTCTTAAAGACGTCCCCCAATCGGGACAACTAAAAATTATAGTAAAATTGTGATAACTGCAACTATTGTAAGGTTATATTTACAAATATTATAGCAATAGTAACTATAAAATGGTAACCCGTACCATAATTATTTTACTATGCAATTATAATCGCAAATACAAAAAATTTTTTGTTCAGTGTGTGTGGTTGTGACATCAAATAATGCAAAATATCTGAGTGCCAAATTAGCTGGCAGTAAATACTCACAGGCTATAACTGCGTCCGGTACTTACTGCCAGTACTGAAAATTTGTTTACTCGAATAAATCACGTACACTATACGCACATTTTCAGAACGCAGTTTTAGTTATATCTAAATTAGTCACGTCGTGTTTTTGGTTGATAAATGTCACAGTTGATAATGACTGCATTTTCGATATTTACTACTAGTACTGAAAATCTGTAGTGTACAGGTGGAAACAGAAAAATTGTCCAGTTAGTCCCGCATTCTATATATTTAATATCTAGTTACTATGTCATCAGCAATTACCAATTTTTGTAACATTTCAATATATTTGACATCTTATTTGTCTGCTCTTATAATGAATTATTGCGCAAGCTGTGTGCTCATTAGTGCTTATCCACTTCTGAATGGGATGCATTCCGAAACTCAACCGGACAACCTTTCTGTCCCCAACGTACACTATAGATTTTCAGTATTGGTAGTAAATATCGGAATGCAGTCATTATCAACTGTAACATTTATCAACTAAAAAGGCGACGTGACCAATTTATATATAACTAAGACTGCGTTCTGTAAATATATTTACTGCTAGCTAATTCGACACTCAGATATTTTGCATTATTTAATGTCATACAATTACGCAATTAAGGCGAAACTGTTTAAAAACGCGTTAACAAGAGAAAGAATAGGAGACAGAAGCTAGAATTATTTAATACACCGGTATATCAATAATTTAATACTTACATAATTTTCTAAAAAAAAAACCGCAATCTCTATTGTAAATATACTTAGCGACACTTAGCGTGAGACACATGCCTCTTGATATTAAATTATTCACATATACCGATTTATCAAGCAGCACTAGCTCTTCAATCATATTTTTTTTCTTATCAATAAGTTTTTGTCTAAAAGACACTTGGACGTCTTATAAAAACATAAGACACGTCTTTTAGACGCCTTTAAGACGTTTAAAGTGTTCTCTGGAAAAAATGTTCCAAAAAAATTTGTTTCTATTCTGCCGTCAACTGTACGCCACATATTGGAACGCAATTAATGTAAATATCTGTAATGTTCTAAAAAATGTTTTATAGAAAACAACTTTTAGACGTCTGTTCGGAAAGTCTTGAAGACGTCTCTTTTAAGACGTCTTTAAGACATGTTGTACATACGTTATCTGGGTTATTTTATCTTTATGATTAAATCTTTATGACTAAATAATTTTCATTATTGGTGAATGTGTTAAGGAGGTTCTACAGATAATGAATGTATCTAAAAATTGGAAAAAACTTTATGGACGTATAAATTAAGATGCGAAAAAAGTGCTCGAAAAATTTTAGCATCGGTTACCGTGTAAAAATTTGCAAAAATGAATTTTGAAATCACAGTTTTTAACATAAGCTACATATGGCAGAGGGGCTCTTGGAGACAGGAAACGAGATATTAATTATATAAAGGCAACCTACCAGAGATTCAAAAAACGGAGCTCTTATAGATCTTAATCTAAGCTTTTCAGAAATATCGAGAAAAACAAGGGTTATCGCGTAAAATTTTGTGATATTGGCTATTGAAACAGGCCATATCACAGTTCACGTAGCGTGCTTCGAATAACAAGGGAGATTTGGCAATGTCGCAGCGACTGCACCCGCGTGAAAAGTGTACAGCCAGTACAGCACCACAGTATGACAGCACCTCAAACTTAAGCACCTAACGTTTACGAGCGCTTACGGAGAAGTACTCGCTCTAGAATTATGTGAAATTGTGAAATAACCACGGTCATATGAGCAGAACTGTCAAGTTCGCGACGTTACCACATTTTCTTCCATTATAAGCCGCCAGAGTCAAAGGAGCACTTACACGATATTTTTAATTATTCCTCGCTTCGACTAATATGGATATGATATAAGCTCTAACGTCATCAAAATTCACGAAAATATTTTATGAATACTTAGAATCGATGAATTTGAAGATTTTCTCTTCATCTCTCAACTGACTAGAGAGTACCTGTAGAACCTCCTTATGTGAAATTAATTGCAATATATATATATATATATATATATATATATATATTACGATTCAACATCGACTCTTATATTTAGGGCGTGCTCACTAGCAGGGCCTCTGACATAACCTTTTTGTTTACGAAGTGTGCTGCTCATCCGGGCCTTCGTTTATACCTGTTTTGCAGGGCATTAAACTTTCTCGGTAAGAGTCGACAGAGAGCAAAATTCAAAAATTTGTTTGCATTAACGCAACAATACCAGGAGATATTTTCTAGTAGATACTGATAATGTGATCAAAATATTTTTTTAATACCCAGGCAGCATGTTGATGTTCTCCGAGTGTTCGCTGAATGTTACAACCATTACCTGAATAACTGTTAGGAGTTCGCGTCTAAGTAGTGTTCGAAGAATGTTCAGAGAATGTTCGCGATATAACGTTTGGCGAGCGTTCGTTAAACATTCGGATAACGCAAAGCGCGGGGGATATATTCTCTGTACGGGAGGCATGGGGATAATATTACACATTTTTTAAATCATATTTCTTTATTAACTTTTCTTTTAAATTGTTAAATACAGTGAAACCCGTTTATAATGTACAAGCTCTAGATCGGAAAACTGCAACGTTATACGCGAGACGACGTTAAATGCGGGATATATTTCATTTTGTAGATATTGCTTGGTGAATCAAAATGTTATAGCGGGAAAACATATGTAAGAGACATTATTATAAGCGGGTTCTACTGTAAGTGCAATAAACTATTTTAGAACAAAAATTGCATGTATTCATATTCATTTCATATATTCGTTTCTAAGAATCTATAATAAAGCATCTTATAATAATAAATTGAGAGATTTTCACTGACTCAATACAAAATAAATTTGACACATATCTATCACATATTAGTCTGAAAGAAATATACATTGATTAACATACGTTAATAAGTTCTATAATTTGCACTATAAAGAAAAGTAAATATTATTAAATAATTTGTACTATAAAGAAGAATAAATATAATTTGTACTTTAAAGAAAAATAAATTATAGAACATGCATCTGTAACAATTTAATGTAATCTTTCACAAACTTATGTCAATGAATATTTCTATAACAAAGTGCCACTGCAGGCAAACACAAAGTAACAGTAATATAACTGTTCGTTATATATATCTATATAAAAGTCTTTATATATCTATATAAAGACTTATTTCTTAGTCCTAAAAAGTGAGTAACGCAAGTAGTCCATTATTGATTTATCAATAATTCTTCCATTGGCATCTGGGTGTACAAGTAACACTGCATCTGACAAAAAAAACAGGCAATATTGAATTTTTTTAACGTAGTCATAACATATTTTTAGCCCTGAATAAAAAATCTTCTAGTCGTTTTGTAAAAGAAAAGAAATATCTATATCAGACTATTTCTGTAGTACTTCAATAAACTAAAATTGTGAAGCAATCATACCTTTGACAGCTTTATACATGTTTGTAGGAGAAAAAGCAAGTTTTGGGTCGTTCCCTTTTTGTCTTCTCCCCATGTAACTGTAGAGACTGCCAACTGCGCGTGTGAGCAATTTTCTCATAATACGGTCAACACGTCCTTCAACTGATGTTCCACCTTCGGTAGAAAGTCTTTTAGTCTGCAAACATTCAACACTTTCTTCAATCCCAAAAATTTATTGTAAAAGAATATCTTATGTTCTGCTGTAAAAACCAATGAATAGACTTCAAATCTGTACTTACAAGGTACTCCATTTGTGCTGCAGATGAAGCTAAACATTCCTCCATTCTTTCTGCTTCATTGATATTTTCAAGGGGTATTTGTGGCATTCCTTTAGGATGAGATAAGATTATTCCTTTATTCCTGAGTCGCTGCACTACTTCCTCCAATAATATTCCATGGTTACGTTGAGTTTCCTTCATAATCTCTACCATATAAACCAGATTTTTTACCATATCTGCAATAATAACAATAATTGAAAATTAGTATCTATACACTGCTTCTGTTGCAAATAAAAGAGATACTAAAGTTTTGGATTTTACCCATGCCAGTGGCCTTTTTTGGTGCTACAACTTGATTATCATGATCAGAATCTGTATAATTGTTATCGCTGTTTCTACTATGGGTTAGGTTTTTTTTTTCTACTTCTTATCGCTGCTTCTATTCTTCTTTGGTCATATAATCCAATACATCTACCTAGTATGGGCCAAACATCAACAGAACTGCTTTTGGAGACTGGCAAGCCATCAATATTTATATCTATATCCAACTGTAAACAATTCAGTTTGATTCCACTCTCCATACGTTTCACGAGCCCGTGCTTAATACCAACATGAACGTAACCACCACTATTTAAAGGTTTAATATTTACATAGACTGGTGTTTGCACTATACACCGTGGATCTGAAGGCAAGTCAGGATGATCAGGCTTAAGTTCAGTTAGCAACATTTTCAGCTGAGTCAAATTAACACGCGAAGAACAATACCATCTTCGAAGGCGTACAACTAATGGCTCAATATCTGGTTCTTGATTCGATTCTGACAAACTACTATCAATACAATCACTGTCTGGATCTTAATTTGATTCTGACAAACTACTATCAATACAATCAATAAAAATTTCAGCCATTCTTGTCGGAGTTAATACTACATTTGTAAAATCCATAGCATAGTTATTAATTGAAAAGGAGGTTACAGATTCATCACTCAAAAAAGCACGAGAAGAACTTGTGTTTGGGGAGAAGAAAAGAACAGCTGCAGGATCATGCGATGTCCCCTCTTCCAAAAAGTCATTATTCGATATGTTTTGTACCGAATTATTTACTGATATCTGTGCCTTTTTTTGAATTTGACGTTTACCGACAAGTTTTTTCCCCGACATTGCTAATGTTCGTTATAAAATATATCTGACGTCTATAATAATATTGAGAGAGTCTTGTGAATTAACTTATTCCACCTTCCTAATCTGAAATACAAAACACAAAAACACTATAAAACATCAATTTTTACTAATTATCGTAACAAATAAGCAATCATGATTGTCATATAGAAACTAATGTAACTGCGCGGTTACCTAACCTCTATGCACGACTAGCCCACTTTTTCTTCTTCTTATTTTTATTTTGCTCGGGCTCCGGCCTCCCGATGGAGGTCAATACGGCCCATATATTCTGTCCCAAATGTTTCCAGAAATTTCCACATCGAAAAATCGAACCACAACGACGCAACCAACAACAGTCGGCGACGAAGTCTGTGAACGGTCGGAATCAAGAATCCAAGTCGCACACGCGAAAATCTCAAAAATCACTCGTTTTATTGATGCAAATCAGAAATAACGATCACGCGACCCTGCGTCGTATTTCTAGCCCATAACAACGTTATATGTAATTCCTGCATATAGTCCGATGTTCGACGTACGACGACGATCCGACATCCACTAAAAAATGTTTGTCTCTAATAATCCTCCATAAGAAAAGAAACACTAGACTTACCTGGCATAATGATGCAATATGTTTATTCTTAGAACATTAAAGCTGCATTCGAGGAGCGCGCTATTAGCGCTATTGCATCATTCTGTCTTTATCGCTCATCAGGTGTAAAACAAGGATAGAACAAGCAAATAGCGCTAATAGCGCGCTCCCCGAATCCAGCCTAAGTACCGAGCCTGATGCGTATGTGTCCAACATCTGTGCGGTAGTGATGAGTCCTCACTTGTCACTTTGGCTAACGGACTGACGCCATTTTGGCTACGTAGTTTCACTTTAACGAAAGTGAATTATTAGATGGCGCTCGAAGTGTTGCAGCCAAATGTTCGTTCAACGTTTAAATCATAACTTTCTGATAGAATTTATTTTCAAATTGTTAGCTGACTGTTTGGAATCAAACAGCAAACATATTTAACACAGAACTAACATTCGGCGAACATAAGCATGCTGCCTGGGTATACTCACAATATACCAAAAAATATTCTCAGTAGGGGAGAGTTGGCAATTACCAAGCCCCTAAGAACTGAAGCGTATATCTAAGCTCAGAAATGCTTCAAAAAAACAAAATGTGCAGTTTTAGATAAGTAATTTATTTGGCTATCTACATATCATAGCAATAATCTTGAAAGTTAATCACAAACTGAAATATTAATAATTTTCCAAAAAATGAGAAAACGCGGTATTATCAAACTGGTCTGATAATATCGTGACCAGGTCTGATAAAATCATGCCCAGTTTAATAAAACCGTGCCTATAAAAATTACTTTGGCTTCAGCCAGTGACATGAAGTAGAACACAATAACAAAATGTTTTTTTATATTTATGCATTAATATTGTTTGGTAGGTACCTACATATAAAAATAAGTGAATGTGTTAACAAATAACGATCATTATAAATTCAAATCAAAACCTAAGCAACGATCTTTTCTGTATGCATCTTACATTGTAAACTAAACAGTCTTGGTAACTCTTAACACACAGTTATCGTTATACCTATGAGTATTATACCTTAGGCGTGAAATTATCAAACTCAATTATTTCACTTTACAACCTTAAAATATATAGGAAAGAAACGCGTGTTTCTAAAATCACTTTGCAACCTAATTTTAGAGTGTTTTAGCCTATCAAATCCGTCAAATTTATTTCTTTAATGTAAATATTATATTACTCACCTCTTATCGAAACTACCAGCAAAATTGCAACAAATAAGCAGAAAAGCTTCCAGAGCGCAGTGTCTTTACATGGACGACCGGAACGAATTGACGGCGCATGCGGGTGGGGTATTTCGTGTTACTCTGTGATATTAACATCATTGTAGGCGCGTAATACAAATAGTTATTGAGTTAAACAATGGCGCGGATTTGACAACCGCGCGGTAATATCCAACTTTCCCCTATATACTGAGTAAGCTTCTAGGGTAGACATTAGAACATTCTCAGTACATTCTCAAAATATCATAGACGTATTTCGAATATCAACAGGATATACACAATCTACGTTTGCAATATACTGAGTACATTCTCAGGATCTACCTGTGCTGTGTGGGAAGGGGACCTCCTACGCCGCCTGACAGATCTTCTTATAGAATTAATTATATAATTATAAAGTTAATTGAAAAATTATATTTGTAAGGTAATGACATGCAAAATATGTGCTATAATAGTTTTAAGATATCTTATGCAAAGCATAATTTATCAATTCAAATTAATATATCCTAAAGGATATTCTTCAGAAGATCTCGTAAGATATCTTATGCAAAGCCAACGGATATGGCAGAATATTTAGATATCGTGAGATTATAATAGGATATCTCACGATATCCTATTGAAATATCCCGGGCAAAATCTGCTGCGATATCCGTGAGATCGTATTTGGAAATCTGGGACAATCTTGGGATATCCTCAGGATACAGTGTGTTGTGTGGGTATATATATAAAATTTTGTTAAATTTGGTCAATTCCCAAAAAATTGGAAAAATTTCGGTACTGGCTTCCAAAAAGATCGGTAACAAAAAATTATACACTTTATAGGACTCCCCGGAAAATTTTATCCTTGTTTTATATACAATTCTTTGAGATTTGGTCAATTATTTCCCAAAAAATTTGAAAAATTTTGGATATTGGTTTCCAAAAAGATCGGTAACGAAAAGCTATACAGTTTATAACACTTCCCGAGAAATTCTATTTCTGTTTTATATACAATTTTTTAAGATTTGATCAATTATTTTTCCAAAAAGATCGGTAACGAAAAATTATACTTTATATCACAAAATTCAATTTTTTGAGATTTGGTCAATTAATTCCCGAAAAATTAAAAAAATTTTGGTACCAGCTTCCAAAAAGATCGGTAACAAAAAATTATACACTTTGTATTACTCCCCGGAAAATTCTACCCCTGTTTCATATATAATTCTTTGAGATTCGGTCAATTATTTCTCGTAAAAATTAGAAAAATTCGAAAAATCGGTTTCCAGAAAATAAATAACGAAAAACTATACACTCTATAGCACTCCCCGAAAAATTCTACCCCTATTTTATAATGTTTTAATACAAATTTGGTCCAATAGTTTTTAAGTTAAAAACGTTCTAAAAACGTTCAAACATACACCACACCCGTAAGAATTTTATAGATTAGTATAGATAAACGAGCTTGTACAGCACACCACGAACCCATGTGACAACTTGTCTCGCGTGGAAAGTGTATGCGTGAACTATTTCGACATATATATTAGTCATTTATGCCTTCCAAAATAGCTCAAAATAGCTCAAAATAGCTGCTATATTTTCCAAACTTCTTTTTGTTAACAACTTTTTAACAAATAACGAGCGATGGCTGAAACTTTCTGAAGGTCACTCGGGGTCACGACCTTGACAACATGTATCAAGGTCATTGAAATCGGTGAGGTCGCCCTTAATCCGAAGTTTTACTATAATTTTATATAAAGTACCAAATTTGATATATAATTATATACAATCATATATATTTACTAGCTGGTTACCCGGGCTTCGCCCCGAAGGACATGTGTAATAATACACGCAAATAATCTTACTCAATAGTCTCTCTCTCT